GGACTTCAGGTAAGTTGAAGTAGACGACCTCCTAACCACCATTTCAATTTTCCGAAAAATTCAAGAAACCTGCAATTTGATAATCGGGTTTATCCGCAATAAGCTAAACGATAATGCAGATCAGGAAAATCTACAGATATAAATCAACAACACTTCTAAATACGGTAAAATAAAAATTCATTTAGCATTTATTAAAGTATATTCTACTGCGTGTCTTAATGCCCTACCCATAAAACCCCATAACCACCGTTTCCGTAGGAAAACATGCAGGGAGTTGGGACTAATGAGTGGGCCTACATAAGCTACTGTTACCATAACAACTATCCAAGGGTGCACAAGGGTAGCTGTGCTGTCAGGGCGTTCTTCGAATAAGTAAGTATGTACTGCAGCTAATCAGAGAGAAAAGTCCCGGAACGGTTCTAGTCTTCTTAGTCTTGCGGACTATAACTTGAGACCCGCTTATCTAAACGTAGATTCATGGTTAGAGCTGGTTGGACTTTCCACCACAGTCACGGGTTCGAGCCTCGGTTAGTGCAACACCTGCAATTGGATATGGCTGCCTGACAGCGGCAAATAACCCGAAAATGGCTATTACGGCGCCCCTGTCTTTGTCGGTACTGTCTTCCGCCCAGTCACCGTGCAGCTACCTGTGGAGATCTAGATCGAGCCCCAAGACACAACGGAACGAGTAGGTTCAGCCATGCGATTCGTGAGTGCCCCCCACCCAAAGTCGGCGCCCTAACTTCTATTCTTATATTGTGATTAGAAAGAATATCAAAGGAGATGCCATCCGCCCCCAGAACTGCTCGTAATCCGCTCTCCAGTCAAGATAGTTTGTTGATGATCTTTTCATTGTTACCAAACTCATCTGACAAGATGCAAGTTCCTTTGGCTTAAATACTCGGTTTCCAGTTGATTGGTGTGAAATTCAAGTAGAAAAGCAAAGGGCGCTAAATGTAAAGTCGGACTTACATTTGTGTCGGTAGCCACTAGTGAAGCCCTGTTTGGGCAGATCAAAGTCTTCCAGGATTTTGTTGTAGTCCTGCAGGCGTTGATTAAAATTCCGTTCATTAGCTTCCAGAGTAAAACATGGATAAAAGTTTATTAAAAGAGGTGTATTATGACAATGTTCCTCAAATAGGTCGCAATTATCATCTCTATAATATAACATATTCAACTACAGGGATAACAGCTATATATCTTCCATTTTGTGGTCGTAGAGACCAAAATTGCGTAACATGTTCGGCAAAATATCTACGGAATATGAACAGAAAAGATAAGTATACTATTTTTGGGTATATGTAACGCCCGAAACCGAAGCGCGGTCGTGAGTTAAGAAGTAGTAATCAGGAAAGTATAACTTGAAAATTAAAAAATAATAATGTACATATCTATTATGATACTTAACACGTGCCGCACAATACTAGATCCAGGTCCTAATTCTACAAATCATATGTATTCACACATGTCTGTTTGACGAGCATCAAAACGTAATCTAAAATATTGAAAAGTCTATTTTCAGGACAACAATACAGCAAAACGAGATCTGTCTTAAGACTGATTAATATAAGTTAGAACGGAATATCGAATTGTCACAAAAACGATACGAAAAGGTCGTAAAATTTGCAGTCATATACCTTTAAAATGAGAATTTATCACCGCAAACGAAGTCCCAAAGAGGATGAAGGAAAGTGCAACAGCCCCTTTCGTTTGAACAGCTGATCTTGTGCAAATACTGCTGCACTGAGGGACTGAAAAGAGGAAACACTTCAGAGCCCACGTACTACTGCTTTGGGTTTTAGAAACACACAGAACCTAAAAGGACAGGCGTACTCTCCAGCCAATCTCCAAGGTAAAATTGTTTAATGACAAAAACCCATTGGTTAGAGAAAGTTAGGTTTGGACTGTGACGTCAGTCTAATCAACAACTATCGAGAAAATGCAAAAGATTGTATTCGTTGCAGGGCCTGCCAGGGTCAGTCATGGCTTCCAGGATAACACTTGACCCGGGTGAACGGCAGTGAACCCAAGGTAATAATAAACATAATTATAGCAAAAGTAAGACCTGAGTTTACCAGTGAAGTAAAGGTGTGCATACTGCCCTTGTTCTTGCTAATCATCAAATATTCTGCAGTTTACCACGTAAATATTTTATTAGAAGTCAGGAAAAGTTTAAAAAGGCAGTAGCGAGCAAAGTTGGTGTCACACAAAGTTATAAGACGCCTTATTCCGATCGGAATTTTATAGGACTTGAGAATGTTATTTCCTCGGAGGTTTAAAACATACAAATTATAAAAGTTTCAATTTATAATGACGTAGTAAAACAGGAATTCATGCAGAAAAACTGCGCGGCTTTCGAATTTGAGCCACCCATTTTTTTTGCTCTCCATTCACGTGGGAATTTTTTATCATATACTATCCTCTCTAATCCTCCGCTTTGTTTGTCTGAATTTGTGATCATGAGGTCAT